CTGGAGTGCAATGGCGCGATCTCGGCTCACCGCAACCTCCACCTCCTGGGTTCAGGCAATTCTCCTGCCTCAGCCTCCTGAGTAGCTGGGATTACAGGCACGCGTCACCATGCCCAGCTAATGTTTTGTAGTTTTAGTAGAGACGGGGTTTCACCGTGTTGACCAGGATGGTCTCGATCTCTTGACCTCGTGATCCACCCACCTCGGCCTCCCAAAGTGCTGGGATTACACGCCTGAGCCACCGCGCCCGGCGTCACCTTCATCTTAAAAAAATAATTTTGCTATGCATAACATCTCAGATTGGCTGTCATTTTTATTCTATAATTGAAGTTCACGTTCCATAATATTCTATTTTTTCTTGTTTCTTTTGAGAAGTCACTTTTCAATCCAATTATTATTCCTGTAAAGGGAATATATTTGGGGTTTTTTTCTGTCTTCTTGTCACTTTTACTATGTTCTTTGTTGTCTTTGGTTTTCTGAAGACTCATGCTGAAGTGCCTTGGCGTGTTTATATTTATCTAGCTTTTGTTTTGCCTGTCTTCTGAACCTGTGTATTCACTTGTTTTTATCTATTTGGGAAAATTCTTCACCATCATCTCTTTAAATATACCTTCTGTTCATTCCCTTTCTTTGTTGTGCTTGGGTTGGGAGTCAAATGGGAAGTTTTATATTTCTCACTGTAACAACTTTTTCTCTTCTTCTCATGTATGTTTTCCCAAACTTTTGTCTCTCCAATCATTATTCTAGAAATTTTTTACTGAGCCATCTTTCTATTCACTAATTATTTCTTAGCTGTTTTTTTAATATATTGTTAAACCCAACTGTATGTGTTATAAATATTTGTCTAATTTCTAATGGGAACAATTTATAATCTATTTTCTCACGTGTACTCTGATAAAGTTTCAATCTTTTATATTCTTATACATAGCAAACCTAGTTAAATTAATGCCTGTAATAGAAAATTTCAATACCTAAAATGCTTAAATATTCAGTTCTGCTGTCTATTGTTTTTATTTGTCATGTTTTTCTCCTGATGTAGTTTATGAAGTTTTATTTCCTTATATTCTTGGTTATTTTTATTCTGTTCCAAGAAACAGTTCTTATGAAAATCTATTGACACAAGTAATATTATTGTCATTCAGAAAGGATTTCTATCTTCTTTAGTCAGGAGCCTGAGAGAACTCCCGGTTCATCATAAACCATTTCAAGCTTGACGTTTTCCAGATCATTTTAGCGGCTTAAATCTGAGCTCCAGTCTTTGCAAGGGCTTGATGACATCTGCCTTAACTTTGTTATTAGGATGTTATTATTTCTGATCTTAACTAAAAGCAAAGCATGTTTACTAAGACCTTCACACGTGGAGAATCCTGTACTTTAATATTTTGATCTAAACCTGTGAGATTCACCAGTGTAGCTGAGTCCCTCATGTGACATTTCTGTATAGAAAGTGCTTACATGGCAAAAATTCTTCCCACATTTGTATTAATGATAAACCTCTCTCAATTTTCAGATTACTGAAATTTTTTCCTTTTTGTTCTTTAATATCTTGTAAAATATCTAGAGCTTTAAGCATATTTTTTCCAGTTTCCTAAGGCAACATTAGATGGTGGGTTGTCTATATTCTCTAGTATGCAACTACTGGAAGTGTAAACTGTCATATCCTCTCATTTTTAACTCATGTAATTATTTTGACACATTAAATATTTATTAAACCAAGTCATGCTTTTCTTTATGGGATGGTTATCTATTACATTTCATTTACTCTTTCAAAACTGTCATGTTATCTGATCAACTATACCTGACCATATAAGCAATACAAAATAATCAATTATTATAGCTGGTTCTTATTATGTTATTATTAACCAGTAAAATCTCTATATAATGCATATGTTGGTAATCTAAAAGATTACAGAATACATTAGATAATTAGAAGAGCAAGGCATCTTGGTTCAAATTCAAATTCTAACTTGTACCAAGTTTGATTCATTTGTTAAGCTAATTTATTTAAATCACAATCCCTTAATTCATTAATTCAGGGACTTTATGTCTCAGAGCCTTATTGTAAGACAAACTGAGATAATGAGATGGTGAACCGTCTAATTATTTTAGACGGTAAATATAATTAATGGAAAGAAGATGGGATCTGTGAATAGACAACAGTAATATTCCAATACTTGCATTTCAAATCCTTGCATTGTTATTTGTCAATTGTTACCACATTAATGCTGTGCAACAAACTGCCCCCATTCTAGCTGAAATACAACAATAAATATTTCTTTCTCTCTGAAAGTGAGCTGTTTGTCATTAGCCACCAGCATGAAGCTAGCTGGGCTTCGTCCAGGTGTTAAGCTGGGCTCTGGTCTGCTATACATGTTCCTATCCTAGGTATGAGTTTTTCATAGTAATGGCAAAAGCACAAGATACTAAACTAACTCTACTTGTGTCATGTTCATTAATATCTTATTGATGATAGAAGATCTCATAAGCCAAAAAACAAAAAGAAAAAAAATGTCTAAGGGGGGGAATTAACTCCACCAACCATAAAGCCAATATAAATTATATGAAGTGAGAAATATATCCTTGCACATAGAGTTGTGATGAGAAAGAAATGGAAGCCACATGAATATGTTGTTAGAAATGTCATAATCATTTATTATTTATGTATATGTTTCACTCACACAAAAACCAGATCATAAAGAGAGGAGTGGCTTATCTCACAAAATCTTCGTTGGGGAAATCGATCCACCTATGTTTAAACACTAGCGGCTAAAGAGTTAGTTTTAATGCCATTTAATATAGGAATACACTAGCATAAATTGTATTCATTGAAGGTCAGTGATTAAAGGAGGACATTTATAATTCTCCCCTGTCAGGCACAGGGGAGAAGTACTGCACCGCCTTAGTGGTAATGCGCAAGAGGTCTCTCTGACTTGCTTCCTTTACTCACTTTAACATTGTGTATTGAGCACATTCCCAGTTAATAAAATGTCAGGGATTGGTAAGCAGGTGGGATCCATCAATGAATTCTATTACAAATAAATATTTTTTCTGTAATAATTGGTAGAGTGGGAAATATAATCCATGGCAGATTGGATGGCATAAACACTGGAAACATATAAGAAATTCTTATGAGAGGTTTACATTCATTTACTGAAGGTAAATCTAGCTTAATGTACTTTATTGCGTCCATCAATGTGATAATTTTATGTGAGTTTATAATACTACATGAAAAATATCTAAAGTATTTTTGATATTTATATCTAAATATCTTTTAGACATGAGATATCTAAAATAAAAAGTTTTTGACAGTTGATTGCATTCCATTTGCTTGCAGATTGTCTACATGGGCTGGTGTGAGGCCCGGGAGCAAGACCCCCTTCAGGACAGAGTGTACTCCCCAACCTTCCTGGCTCTGAGGGGCTCATGTCTGTACAAGTTTCTGGCACCTCCAGTAAGTGTTTTATCCAAATGTATTGGTCTTTTCCATATTACCGCAACAGATTGACGTCAACTTAACAACATCAAATAGTATACTATCAATAGTTTTAAAAACGTTATAGAGAAAAACATGGAAACCAACTTATCTGATTTAACTTACTAAAAATACATTTTCTGATGTAAACATTGGCTTTATCACCCTGGAAAACTCTGGAAATTTGTTATTTATAAATAGTGAACCTATAAAATAATGGATCAAATTATAATGCTGTTAAAAATCCCATGAAGTCATGGGAAAGGATATTTTAAGAAACATTTTCAAGCATACATCAGTGTATTTTGTTCACTGAATGAAAATAAATTAATATATCAGAAGTGGAATAAAGAATGAGTAAACTGTTTTAGAGCTCTACATGAATGAACATGTTTGCTAAACTTATTTTCAAAGGATCTTTCGAAAGCTTTTAAAAATGCATTCAGTACTTTTAATTACTAGTAATTTATTATTAGCAAAGAATAATAGGAAATCTCAAAGTGATAGCATTTTGTCTAGCTGTTATTAAATCTATCTCGCCCTAGTGGTAATTCCATAAGATGATGTTAACTCTCAGGTTGTTCGTTTAAATTAGAGGATTTCATACTTAGCAAACATCACAAATACATTCTGGTAAGCTATCATTTATGACAGTAAAACTATATTTATCTATGCTGTACAGGTCTCTCTAAGTAAAATCAATAGCGTTTTTATCTTCTATTATACTCTATATTCGAGTTATTGAGATTTGCATTAAATATGTATAGATACCTATTGGACCTCAAGTCTTGCTTTTGGAAACATGTACTTTGCAGCACAGAAAACACTCAATAAATATTTATTGAATATAAATAGCACATGGCAGACCAGTCTCTTGCAGGTTAAATGATACATAGGATTTAGTAATCATCAGGTCTGACTTGCTGCTGTTTTAAATGCCTGTGTCTACACAAAGTGTAAAGCACTAGGAAAACAGGGAAAAATTAATATTTATATATTTTACTTTATTCCTACTCTGAATAATTTCTTTGACAAGACAAGTAAATATACGTTTCCAACCTAAGTAAGTGAAATAACTGCATTGTGATTTTGGTGTGTTTGCAATGTCACAGTCATCCAGGAATTTCTTAATATAAATTATGCATATTTAAAAAATACAGCTGTGTTGAGGTCTAGTATTGTCTGTATTTAACTGATAAATAGAGAAAAAAATAATCTGTTTGTGGAATGTAAATATTTAGTATTTATATGTTGAGAATATATACATTATTTAAGATACCTAAGGACACTGGGCACATGGGAACTGTTGCACATAACATAAATCATTTGCTGAAAGCATAAGACAAATGGTGACAAAGCTTGGAATAGAGGAAACAAGAGTATTATATAGGGTCCTTTATGAACATAGCTTCACAGATGAGAGACTAAATAGACACATCTGTGAAAGTTTTGCTTATTTTTCACCATATTTATGCAAATCAAATAGAGTGGTAAATAACTTTCTCAAACAAATTACACATTATTTTCTTATCGCTTAAGGTAACCACCTGGGACTGGACGAGAGCAGAGAAAACATTCTCGGTTTATGAGATTATGTGCAAAATCCTCAAGGTATGATCAGTAATAAGTCCGTATTTGAATGGCTTTTCTTCAGTGAATAGCACCTCTGGGCTCATAAGTAGCCCACAAAAACAAATGATTCATGGAATGAAAGAAGAGACAAGATAAAGACAAATGAAAGAGAAAGAAAATAAACTAGACAAGAAAAAGAAAATACAGAATGCACAGAAGTGCACTAGCACTCAGCTACCTGCTTAAATAGCTAGCAAGCAGACTGCAGTCCCGCTGAGGGTGAGGGAAGAGGGAGAAGCTCCGCAGGAGTTCACTGAGGAGGAAGAAAGTTCAGAAAGTTCAGCTGAAAGTAGTCTGAATTTAAATATCGGTTGTTGCCACTATTTTAAAATTCTTTTTTTTTTCTCAATGAAATGCAAAAAAGAAAGATTTGGGTAAGACCTGGAATTAGAAAGTGTAGAAAATATAAAGATAAAAGCAAAGAAAAGTTTTGTTATTTTGTTCTTAATCTCATGGCTTGACCATCTTTTTGTGTATGTGAAAGAACATACGATTGTCATTTATCAGTTGAATTTCATGCCATCCACAGGATTATTGCAATAGCAAGCTATCACAAATTCTGTAAAATGTCGCATGGTTTCCATAGAATTTTTTAAAGAATTAAAATTGGAAGAACCTATAAAACCTGAAGACTAATATATATTCATTTTCTACTGTAGAGTTTGTATGCTTGGACTCCCCACAGACTGATAATTAAATTCCTGCCGCAGGTTGACCTTGTTTCTGTATCCAAGGGGAACTAATTTCCCTGTGCTTTATGTTAGCTCTTTCTCTTCTGGCTAAAGACTTAGCAGAGCAAAAAGTGCTGAAAATTTTTAAATATAATAAAATGCCTCAAAAGTATCTGACAGCAGAGAGACAAAATATAATTACCTCAAAAGTGTTCATAGTTTCTATTCCTTATAGACAATTTTGGATTAAAGCTGAAGTTCTCTGAAGTACAAAATCCAACTAAAAATATAACTCATTGATTGTTCATGTCTGTACATGCTTTGAGTTATTTTGTAGGAACAATGGTTTAAGGATACCCTGAAATACTTGAGTGTATTGTTAGTAAAGAAGGGTCTGACGATTTCTAAAACAGGTACCACTATCTGAGGAAAAGGAGATCATACCCAACTCCAGTTTTCTGAAATAATTGGCAAAATGGCTAATGACATAGCTTTCTAATTGTGTATTTTTTGCAAAGCTACTCATGGAATTAGAATTAGAAAAGAAAGAAGGACATAAAGAAAAAGAGAGAAGAAGGAAGGAAGGAAGAGAAAGAAAGGAAAAAGAGAGAGGGAGGGAGGGAAGAAAGGGAAGGCAAAGGGAGGCAGTGAAGGAAGGGGAGGAAGAAAAGACAGGGAGAGAAGGAAGGAAAGAAGGAAAGAAGGAAGAAAGGAAGGAGGGAGTGAGGGAAGGGAAGGAAGGTCAGGGAAGGCAGGGAGGCAGGAAGGCAGGAAGGGAGGGAGAGAAGGGGAGGAGAGGGGAGAGCAGGGAGGGAAGGAAGGAGGGAGGAAGTGAGGGAAAGAAAGGAAACTGCCTCAACATAATCAGCTTCATTTGTCTATTCTCTGTCTATACACTAACGTAACTTTTTCATAGTTATTATGCACACATATTTACATATTCTTATTAGACTTAAATTATTTTCTAACCACTTTCCAAGTGGTTACATGCTCTTTAAAATCTTCTCTTTAAAAAAAAGCTATTTAAACATTAGAATGTAATGCAGTTTATTACAGTACTTTAAAAAGGAAAATTTTAAAGGAAATAATAAAAATTATGTTTAGCTCCATCGCCATATAAACACTCAATATTTTGTATCTCTGTTAAAATATTTGACAAAGTAAGATTTTACAATTCATGATCTGCTTTTCTGTGTAAAAATATGGCTTGAGATTTTTTTTTTTTCTATGACAGTCAATGTTCTTAAAAAACACCGATAACTTTTTGATAGATTTCGTCTCTCCCATCATTTGGCTGTATTCATTGAGTCTACTTTAAAGTTTTACATTTAGGTTTCTCCCCCGACTTGTCCTTGCTATCAGGCTTATCACAACAATCATTCTTTGAACGGTTAAACAGAAAATTAAGTGTTTGCTAGATACCAGGTAATCTCAGCACTTGTTATGTGGCTGAGAAAAATGCAGAAAACCCGCCAGTTTAATTGAGCTTGAATTTTATTAGATGTTAAGTAAATCAGGAAAGGAGACAAAAATAGTAAATAAATCAATGAGACAAAATAATAATACGTAGGAAAGCCTGATCTTTGCTCAGAGACTTTTATGCAAATTCTTATTTCCTTTAGTCTAAATTCTGAGCTTTGCAAATCCCATGTGGAAAAATATTTTAACATATTCAAGATACTAAATCCATGTGACCAAATTGCCTCCTGTAAACGTCATCTTAACTTACGCTGCCACCAGAAGTGTCTTTGAGAGTGCCTGTAATATTTACACTCTGACCAAATTAAAATCAAAGACTACTTCCCATTTTAACTTTCTATTTAAAATTTTCTATAAGCCTTAGTTTACTTTAATTTTTTTTTTTAATTTAAGTTCTGGGACACATGTGCAGAAGGTGCAGGTTTGTTACTATATGGGTACACATGTGCCACGGTGGTTTTCTGCACCTATCCACCCTCCATCTAGGTTTCAAGCCCTGCATGCGTTAAGTGTTTGTCCTAATGTTGTCCTTCCCCTTGCCCTCAAACTCCTAACTGGCCCCCGTGTGTGAAGTTCTACTTGGGAAAATGTTTACATAGGTTAGTGAGGCCTGGAGATAAGTATTCTCAGACATCAAATACAATGTAAATCTACCTTCAGTTGTTGTATGTAATTAAGGAAGCCCCTCCCACTAGTAAGTACAATGCTGGTGCTTTATGCTTTATGGCTTGACATTAAACATATAACGCCATCCTTCAAGCTCCCCCTTTCCCAAAGAAAAATTTCATGTAGCATAAAAATAGAGGCGAGGCTATGGCCAAATGGCTTATGTTCGATGCCCAATGGCTTATTTTCCTGTATGCAGATTGCATTCTGGCCTTCTCCTATGTCAGGATCAGCAGTTGGAAAATGATTAGTTTGATAAGGAAGCCAGTGAGATTGGTGGGACTGGTGAGCAAATCAGAAGATTCTTCTACAACCCTGCCCTCGTAGCATTTCTGATGCAAACTGTGCAAGTGGTAGATTTCAGATGAGGCTAATTAAAAGTCAGATTTGAATATCTGGAGCACAGAACAACTGGCCTGTGACCACTAATCAGAAAAATCCTGTCCCTTCTGATATGTTGATATTGAAGCTACATCAGTAATAACAAAAGTGAAGTAATAAAGTTCATCTGGTATATGTAGCTTGCATGTAAGTGCCAGGTATTGTCCTTGGTGCTTAGTATATGAATTCAGTTTATATTTATGTAATCTGTCAGTTATTGTTATTCCCATTTTACAGATATGGAAACTGAGGTCAAAAAGTTTAATAGCCTAAGTTTACATAGCTAGTAAATTTCAGAGCTAAAGATATGAAACTTGCAATGTCTCAAAATTCTGCACTCTTATACATTATGCTACGCTTACTACACTGTCTCTTTCTCTCTCTCAGTGTAAATATTGATAATTGGGGGAAAAAATGGGAACCAGAGAGCCAACCTGGTGCTGATGAGAGAGCAAAAGTTTCAGAATAAGAGGAACTTGGCAACAAATGCCACTTCCGTTACTGAAACCATTACCCTTTACAAGTGTATTGGGCACTATTAACTTCAGTTCTTCATCTGTGAAATGCAGCTTTTGATGCATAGGGTGTTGTAAAGATTGACAATTTGTTAACTGATTTGTGAATGCCTTTTTGTCTATTAATTCACATTACAGTTACTCTGAGTACTTTCTGTGTGCCTGTAATATGTAAACTTTCCCAGAAGTACAAAGAAGCGTGTGTCCTCTCAACAATACAAACAAGATTGTTGCAGCTGTAGTCAGCTTGGGTATGAGGTTGGTGTTGGTGTTTGGATGGAACAGATCATAGGAAACGGCCATAATAAAGCACATCGACCTTATCTGAGGAACAAAGGATAGCCACTAAAGCGTGTCAAGCGTGGGGAGAGACTGAGCTTGCCCATTTAAAAATTCTTTTTGAATCCAACGTGATATGGTGTTGAAGGGGCCAGAGGGGAGTGCTCCTGGGGCAACTTCTGGTCAACAAGGGTATGGCCAGTGGGCCAGGAGGAGTGAGGCAGAGGAAAGGGATATTCAACACCTGTCCCTTTCAGAGCGAGCATTAGACTTAGCAAGAATAAGTCTTTGGACCATAAGGATTATTTTTTAGTTTTTTTATGATACTGTTTTTCAGCCGGACATGACATATAAGTTTAAATGTTTGAATAAAGTATACATAGGGAACAATAACGTCACACTGATATTCTTCTAGAATCATTTTTAGAAAAACAAAAACAAAACATGGCTGGCAGGGCTGAATGAGGAGGTTGGGCAGAGTGAAAGTAGGTGGGAGATGGGGAAGGAGGAAGAGGGATTGATCAACTAAGTAGATATGTTATGGGGAAACTGAAATAGGAGCCTTATTTCTCACTGTCAGAGATGAGAGTCATAAACACAGAAAGAAAGAAGCCTAGGATAAACTCTGAGTTATTGGATTAGAATTAGAAATATTTATATGCAACCTCAGTTTGCAATGTATGTGTTTATATGTACCTATGTGTATGTGTGTGTGTGTACATATATATGTGTTCAGCTGTACCTTACTCTGTCCCCAAAATATCTGGGGTCAGAGAGTTCTCAATAGCAAGGAGCACACTCAGCAAAGCTCTCTGTTTCTCAATATTATTCACTACAAAGAGCCAAAACTCTGTAGATAAATGTTTGATGGCTGGGTTGTGGTATAGAAAGTAAAAGATGAGGCTAAGTCGTATTACTTTGCTAGAAAATAAAGAGGTGCTCAGAAAATGATGGAGACAGATCAAAAGACATAAAAGCTACTTCCAAG